TTATCCCTATCAAGGGAGGACCCTTTTTTTTTTTTTTTTTAATAACTTCTACAGTTTTCAACAAACAAAAGAAAAATTGTTGTACATTTTTTATATATTGGCAACTTTGTCCATGTTTCTGTTTCCAGCAAAGAGAGCGTGTGGAGGTCTGATGTGTGATGTATTTGTACTGTAGTTATCATCCAATAATATGGTACCAAACTGCTAGCCTGCATATTTTCAAATTGTCTTAAAGCTAGAAAGTCTCTTTCAAATAATACGATTTTAAATTTGGATATTCCCTGAAACTCTGGGGCTTCCACAAAAACAGCTGGAGGAGAAAAGAAGTTAACATTCTCCCTATGTCGTTATTCAGCTTGACAAAATACAAAAATGTCTTAATATAGTATTTAATATAAGTTAGTCTTTCATCCTTACTTTTTATGTGAGTTTACTTCTTCTATCGTAACATATCTGTTGTCCGTAAAGTTTATTTTTGAGCTTTACACATAATAAATATATCTGATTTCACAAAATGAGGTCTATTTTACTGCTTGGTAACTGTCAATCTTTTGTCAAAATGATGAGCATAGTGTCATAAAATGAGGCACTTCACTCGTGTACCCATGTTATCTAGAAAACATCACATCTATGAAAGAAATGGAATGCTGTATGCATATAGTTGACAGAGATGGATCCCATCATTCCCTTTGCTGACACAGGATGGGGAAGTTCATTAATCTGTTCTTCTATGGAAAGATTTCAACACTAGGGAGAGTGTTGTAGTTGAAGAGGCCTTGCACCTGCAAATCTGTAACACTAAAAGAGGATGGTACATATTCAGTGTATTGATGCCATTTTTAAGATCACCCAGCAGCTAAGGTGCCAAAGTAAATTGCTCATTCTAAACAGCTTAGTGTTTCACTGTTCTGAGGATGTCTACTTGTGTGCATTGTTTGTTTATTTATTTATTTTGTCTCGCAGAGGAGAGTCGGGAGCTGGCAAGACAGAAAACACCAAAAAGGTCATTCAATACCTGGCACATGTTGCCTCCTCCCACAAAGGAAGAAAAGACCACAACATTCCTGTAAGTTTTCTCTCCTTCGTTCATGACTCTAATGTAAGCTAGCAACACCCGCTTTAAGCCTTAACACAAACATCCCATAAAAAGGTGTTGAATTACTAATGTTATTGGTGGATTTGTATGCACAATTAATTACTACTGCTATGTCCTATCATATCTTTGAATGCCCCTAAAACTCTTGAAGGCCATGTTATTGTTTTGATGCTCTATGGAATAAAATATACCTATGTATCATCAGAAGAACAGTACAGCTGAAGCTCTCCTTAAATGAGAGGTTTGTTGTGGGCTTCAATGAGGTTATAAAGAAGTCACAGTTTGAGTTGTGCTGATAATTACCTATAGTATGGGTAATTATAGATACCAGTACCTGTAGTGGATGACATGGCTTTGTGCACACAATCTAACAATTTGCTTTTGTTTATCTGTAACAAACAGCCAGAATCCCCTAAACCAGTGAAACTACAGGCAAGTCTTTATGCTTTTCTTATACACCATGTGCATGCTACACTAACATTTTCCTTTCCAGTGAAGTTATTTTTTTCTATAACCCGGGCTCATAATATCTCTGTGTACTGGGTGCTAATCAGATGGTTTTGGTACGACTGAGGATGTCAGTAGTTACTCTTGACAATTTTGTTTAAAATGCCTGAACAATAAAAAAAAACAAAAAAAAAAAAATCAGCACATTTAGCATTGATTTTTTTTTTTTCCCCTCTCTGTCAGGCACAAAATGCAGCTGTAAGTAAATTTTAAAACTGGCATGATTATTCAGGTTTCTTTAGTGTGGTTTATGCACTGTGTTCAGATGTGCCGTACTGTGAAATTGTCAGTGTGGTGGTTCACACTCTGTGAAACAGTCATATGCATGTTTTATGTGTTGTTACAGGCACATGCCAACCTTTCTATAGGAAACAGCCATTTTGCTGCTGGCAACAGTTGATTGCTAATTTTAAAGGCGTTGCATATCTGCGCTTTGGACTATTCGGTTCAAGCTATTGAATAGTCGGTGCACTTTAAAGGCGTTGCATATCTGCACTTTGGACTATTCGGTTCAAGCTATTGACCACACCTTTCTCATTTAAGTGTCAACTGAGGGAATCTCTAGGAAGCATATTGGTCAGAATAGGTTATGATTAAGTTTTTTTTTTTTGCTGTCTAACCAGTGACTGAATCATACCTAAGATGCATGGCACACAAAAGTAACTACCTGTTAACCTAGAACACCAGCAGTAATCTGGGACTTGAGGACCAGGATTACAGACTTGTTAGAAAAATGTATATCTTGAGCTATACGTTCATTGTATCCATGATATTAATGCAGTTTATTATTTCCCATAATGACAACCAAATCTCCCCATGTCCTACAGAGTGGACCCCTGTTTTATGTGAGTAGTATGTAGTTTCTCACCTATCTCACCTTACTTTCAATGTCACTGGGGTGCTTTGCCCGCTCTGCTGCTGCCTTTTCTTTACCCACAAAATAACAGAATTTTTAATTACTGCCTGAAATTGGGCAGGAGATTCTTTCCATGCACCTAAATCTACCTGCTGTAGCTTTGTTGTAATTTTTGATTTATACTTTTCATCATCCCTGATTTAATAAGCACCACTTCTTTCAAACTTTTAACATTTTTCTTAACTTACCATGTCCTGATTGAAATAATTGCTTTAATCTTCATTTAATAAACTAATGGGCTTCCATGAATCTGATGGAATCTATGCTTTTATTAAACCCATAAAGCAACTTAACCTGGTATCTGTAATATTTCTCACTTTGTTTCTTTATATGAACCCCCTGTTGGCATGTTAGCACTAAGGTTTTACAGTTCCTGGAGGGCTCAAGCAAGATCCATGTCCTACTCAGAAATGTATCTTGAAATTCCACAACCTAGCTCGATAATGTGCTCTCTAGAGATCAACAATTTGAGGAGAATATTTAATTGTATTTCAGTTTGGCCAATATTGTTCTAGAGAATGAATAAGTCCCTATTGTTTATAACTGTTAAATTTATTGATAACAATTGCATAGTTGTTCGGTTACAGTAAAGCTGCTGTTAAACCAGGGGTCTCAAACTCAAATGAGCTGGGGGCCACCACTGCCACCGTCAGCTCACTGGAGGGCCACATCAGTAGTTGAGTAATACAAAAGATAACATATTTTTGAAAATGTGCTTTTAATAATACAAAACAGCTAATGCAAATATTAAATATTTATTGGTAACGTTTGAATGAATAAACTGCAAATATCTTGAACACATGTATTTTAACACTTAAGACACCTGTGCTAGCAACCTGTGTATATATAAATAAAATCGTGACAAAAATAAAAAATATGCATATATTTGCATGTTTCACACCAAAGGCAAGGCAAACTTTTTCCTCTTATTTAAACATTGCACTGAACTGAATGAATTGAATGAAATTCCAGAACACTATATTTTACAACACAACTGACAACTTTGCAACTTGTCTTCATATTAAAATCTGAAACATTAACAGTATAATGTTAAACAAGAAAAAAAAAACAGCATTTAACTTCACTTTTTATTGCATCCTATTGCACCCGGTTTTGTGGAAAAGTCCTTGCTGGAATACTAGTCCTCTTTGTAGCTGCGTGGCTCGTTTTCTGTCATCTCCATTGTAGTTCTCATAATGTTGTCCATGTTTACTCCAATAATGGCGCTTGATATTATATTCCTTAAGAACGGCGAGTTTCTCTTTACAAATGAGGCAGATTGCATTTCCACCTAACTCAACAAAAAATACTGCAATGTCCACTTTTCTTGAAACTGTCTGTGCTCACTGTCGAATTTTCTTTTTGATTTTGAATGTGACATACCTTCCGCGCTACTTCTTTTTCGTCTCCTTATTTTTTTTTGCCGCGTGCTCTGGAAGCAGCGCCACACTGTACGGCTCCGGACCTGCGCTTCCTGTTTGCTTAAAAACCTTTGTTCCGTATTTACCATTTTCAAAATAAATGTGTTTTTTATGAAAAAATTATAAATAATTACAAATACTTAATTTTCACAATAAGTGGTTATTGTGGGGATAAAACGAAATAACAAAATATAACCTCAAGGGTCGAGTTACATTACTATTTTGACATCAGGTCGCGGGCCGGAAATGGGGGGGTCCGCAGGCCGGGAGTTTGAGACCCCTGTGTTAAACCTTTTGAAATTGAACTGATGACCTCATTTGATACTGTTGACAGGTATGTCAGACTGTTGACAGACTGAAACTGGCTTCTCTGTTCTCTTGCATTCATTTACACTCGACAACTCCCAAACTAGCAGCTACATGAGTTACGTCTCTGAAATTTACGTGAGGAGTTCACCTGGATTATGTATGATGAAAAAAGACCATTTTCCACATTGGCTTATTCCTCTCTACATTTAAATATTTTGTGTCATTTCCCAAGAAGTGTTCTTTTTCCTGCTGGTGAAAACTCGTAATGTTAGACCACGTGACCGCCAGAGCAGACGTTGAGCAGTCCAAACATGCCCACCTCTGCCTCAGTTCTGACGGATTCTCTTTGGCTTTACCCAGTCTGTCTTAATACTCTGCACCATGGTCTACTAAACAGATTGCACAAACTTGAATCTATGACCTGGAAATGTCTTCTGTAATGACAGTCATGTAACCAAAAAGTATTATTAGTTTGAAGGAGATGATTAGGATACTTTTTTAGCCTCAGAGGGATCAAGGATGCTGTCATGTTGACCGATAGTGTGTCAGATTGGAGAAGCAGGCTCCGTTGGCTATCACAAGTCTGATATGCTCATTTTGCAAGGGGAATGTGGGTCAGTGTTTGTAATCTCCTCTTTGTTTGTATGTGCTTGCAGCAGACCACATAGATCAGCAGAGGTTGCCAATGAATCATTTTAACTATCACGTTGCACCACAGGCTTGTGTTTCTATATAAACTTTTGGTTTAAATCCTCTGCACTCTACAGCTTTGATAGTTGGAAAAGGAAAAAATCAGCAGCACCTCATGCCAGCTGCTCAGAAACTCAATTAAAAGCAGCCCATCTCATTCTACAGCCAAAGATCAGATTACTTGTCTCTCAGCCTGAGCGCAATGTATCCTCGGCTCCCTTCTGTGGAAAATGGCCTCCTCAGACCTTCAGTGTCTGCAGCTATTTTTGACGTAACAGGAAAATATTTTATTCAGCCACAAGACCCCTCCCCCCCAAAAAAAAACATTACAGAAGAGTGTTGTTTTTTTTCTTTCTCTCAGTTATTTTGGTTTCTCTGGTCATGACAAAGCCTACAATGTGACATAGATGGAAACATAGCAGGCCACCTATCCAAACATCTGTGCAAGTCGTTTTGTTCATTTAGCCATTTTAAGTTTTTGGTCTGTTTAAAAAAAAAAAAAAAAAAAACTGAAATGTTTCTTTTTTGTGGTGCAGACATGATACAGTAGGGTCACTGTCTGGGTTTTGTCACAGCCAAAGGTAATGGTTTCAGCATTTTGATTTACATGTGAGCCCATCAAGGGATCCAAACGATGGTTATTTTCCTTTTCATTTAATATGTGTGATTAGTTATTTAGTTTCTCAAAATTTCCAGTGATTATTTTTCTGTTAGCCATTTTGGCACTGATCAGATCAGTCCAGAATTTGAACTAATGTATGAACAAGAATTGATTTGATGACTTTTTCATCATGTTTCTACCTACTAGAGCAGATTGGCCTCGTCTCGTTTGAATCATTTATCACATAAAGATGTTGGCACTTTATATTGATTTTTTTTTTTTAAATGGTCACATTGTCTCTGCTTGGCCTAGCTTTGGAGGAAAAGGAATTTAAAGCTCTTCATGATGCACTGCATGGTTGCCTTAGAAATTTTACATTAACCTATAGTTAGAAAATAGAAACCTTCATTAAATGAGACTATGGACAAATGCAGAGAAAGCATGATAAATGGCTTCATTTACATGTTATTTTAGTCTAAATATTTTCAGATACTGTGTTTTAAGCATTTACATTTTTTTAAAAGTTTTAATAAATGTTTTAATAAAATTTAGTGAAGTAATGTTTAATGTCCATGTCACAGCTGGTGAAATGTTACTATGAGAACATAAAAATCTGTAGACCTGCAACATTGTGCCAAATTGGACACCACGTGTGGGTCTTTGTTTATTCAAATGTTTTTGCTTATTTTGTCCACAGTTTTTTTTAAATAATTTTTCTTCTTGCTTTTTTTTTTTTTTTTTAACGGACTTGCTGCAATAAGTTTACTGTTAGTTTTTGTTTTGTTTTTTATAGTTAAACTTGCTATCATCGTATTCTCTCAGGCTTTGTTTGTTTTACTTACAGTACATGGGAATAGTATATTTGGGGTGTTTCTGTATAAAATGCACAATGTCTGCTGTCTTTGTCTGCATGCTTGTATATTTCTTTTGACTGTAGGTGAAAATCACAACTAGCTTCTCAACATTTTTGTTGTACTGTATGTTCTTGAATTTCATGTGTTAATAAAGGACTGCTATAACATTGTTTTTTCAGGGTGAATTGGAACGACAGCTTTTACAAGCCAATCCCATCCTTGAATCCTTTGGGAATGCTAAAACTGTGAAAAATGACAACTCATCACGTTTTGTAAGTTCAGAAAAATATTATTCATCAAAGGGGGCTCTGTTCGCAAATATGGATCTCAACTGGTTGATCCAGATTTAGCACTCGAACCAGATTTACAATTTTTTTTTTAATACAGTACACAAGGACAAAATTAATTCAGATTAATTTAAGTACTACTTTTCCACATATAGGTGGACACAGGTACCTGCTAGTTATTAATGATACCTTTTGTTACACTGGAGCGTTTCACACTGGAGGCACTTCCACTTAGCAGGCTTCTTAACAGCGATGGAGGACAAGAGGGGTGCTTATTTCTTTGTTTTTAGTTGTTGAAAATACCACATAGATGATTTGTATCACTGTTGATGGTTATAGAGGAGAGGCTTCAGTGTGCATTACAAGAGAATCATTATGCTGCCATTTGATGTGTGTGTTTCATGTCTTGTGAGCTTCTTTTGCATTTATTGTATCTGGTGTTGACCTCTGCAGGGGAAATTCATTCGGATCAACTTCGATGTCACTGGATATATTGTTGGAGCCAATATTGAAACATGTATCCTGTTTTAAAATAATTTACTAAGACACTTCTGTCATTGTAGGTAGGTGAGATATTTATAGCTCACACAAAATGAATCCAGTAAATCCATGTTGAAGAGTTTGTTGTGATTATTGAAGCAGAGTATAGATTTTAATCTGCAATCACAACCATGTTTCTCTGTATGAAGGATTTATCTCATGTTTAAAAAATGTGACTAAGTTTTGATCATACTGACCCACAAATAGATTGGTAGATTTTTTTTTTTCCTTGACCATTTTGTATCAGACTTACTGGAGAAATCCAGAGCTATTCGTCAAGCCAAAGATGAGCGCACCTTCCACATTTTCTACCAGCTGCTGGCTGGAGCTGGAGAGCACCTCAGATGTAAGTGGACTGAGCTTCATTATAAGATCTCTAAAGTAGAGTACTTGTAAGTTTTGCACCCCCGCCCCCTGTGTCTAGTGTGAGCTTAGCCTTGATTATATTTCTAAATGTTTTTCCTTTTTTTTTTTGTCCGCAGCGGATCTGCTTTTGGAAGGATTCAACAACTACCGTTTCCTGTCCAATGGTAACCTCCCAATCCCAGGACAGCAGGACAAAGACAACTTCCACGAGACCATGGAGGCCATGCACATCATGAGCTTCGCCCATGAGGAGATTATGTGTATGTTTTCTCTTGTATACCAGCATAAAATCTTTCACTTGTGTGTACCCTGGTGAGATCATTTAAACAGGACTGCAGCTTTGGGTATAGATTACTTATCAAGGTCCCTTTTTTTTGTTTTTATGGTTTTTAGAAATAGTTTTGTTCCAGTTTGAATTAACAGTGAAACAGCAGTTTTGTTCACTTTGGTTTTGACAATGTGTGGACATTGTCTTTGCAAGAGGGATTTGATCAAATCAGTCAAAAATGCTTGACTTCCAGTGCAGTACTACATACTATATGGAGCTGTAGATGACAGTTGGCTTCCAGCCACACCTTGAATTAGAATTAGAAAAAGTCTACATTCTGTCCCCACCCTGTCTTAAAATGTAAGAAATGTCTGATAGTTCCCAGTAAGATTAAGGTACTTTCTAAATATTTTCATGACCATAAAATTGCTTAATGTTTGACAATTTAAACATAGCGTTGCTAAATGATCTATTCTTGCTTATTCTTGTAGCCATGCTGAAAGTGGTGTCCTCGGTGCTTCAGTTTGGTAACATTGTCTTCAAGAAAGAGAGGAACAGTGACCAAGCCTCTATGCCCGACAATACTGGTAGGTATCTCTCTCTCACTCGCACACACATACAGAGCAATCCTTTTACATCTGTTTCCTAACTGTAGCTGGAAGCTCACAGGTCAAGACACTATTTTTCTATTCCCCATATATGCTTCAACTCCTCTTTTCCTGCCTTCCTCACACTCTTGCTTATCCACTGAACGGAGGAAACCATGATTTATGTCTTTTCTCTCCCTGAGCCTTGTCAGTCTGCCATTAAGCCACATTAAGCCAACTGGGGTACAGCCTCCCAGTTCCTCAACATGTGGCTCTGCAGATGTGGCACTTAAAGGAGAGGGACACAGAGAGAGAGAGAGATAGTCTAATGCAAGTGATACAGCTCAACCAGATATTCCCAGAGTTGACTAGCAGAACCCAGAACAGAAGCTGTTGTTTTTTAGGAGTAAGACTTGGCAGATCTAATCATTTACTTCTTGTAAAATAGGACATTTTCCTCATTACAGTTCGTGTGAGAACGTAACATCTTTGAATGATTTGTGATAATCAGAAATAGGCAAACAACAGTGCTGAGCTGTAAACTTTAATGGATACTTTAGATCTCTTTCTGTGGCTTTTAGATTGTCTTAACAATATCCATTAAGTCAAGTAGCTGTCATTAGGACATATCCTCATTTCTAGCAACTCACTCTTGAAAATACAATAGTCGTTTTGGGATTGAGTTTAATTCCTAATCTTAATAAATCAATTTAACCTATGAGTGATATATATATTGTTTGTAGTGTCCTTTTATGCTGATTTAAATGACTTTTTCATACCAGCCGCTCAGAAGCTGTGTCATCTGTTGGGTATGAATGTAATGGAGTTTACCAGAGCCATCCTGTCACCAAGGATCAAAGTGGGAAGAGACTACGTCCAGAAGGCACAGACTAAAGAGCAGGTCAGTGAGCTGTTTCATTTTTACTGACAGATACAATGTGTATCCTCTTTTTCTCCCAGCTACTCCTCAGTAACACTAATAATGATGTATAGTAATTGAAGTGATGAAGTCAGTCTTTTTCAGTCTAAGTTAATTTCATCATAAAATAATAGGTGGAGGAGGAATTTGTCAGGTGCCCCAGTGTTTCAGTAATAAAATTCAGTTTCATTTTCTGCACCGACAATGTAAGCAGATTGGGAGTTGGAGCACTTTAGAACATTTGATAGACATTTGAATCATCAGTATAAAGGATGTCATGTCTCAGTGAATATATGATTCCTTTACAAAAAAAAAAGTCAAAGGTACAACCCTGGGTACATAAGGAGAGGAGTCAATAACAAGTGTAGAAATAAATCTGCATCATTATGGAATAAACTTTGAATTCTGGCATTGTGCTTCATTCCCAATTGTCTTCTCTGCCTCCCTCCAGGCTGACTTTGCTGTTGAGGCCCTGGCTAAAGCAACATATGAGCGACTGTTCCGCTGGCTGGTCCATCGCATTAACAAAGCCCTGGACAGAACCAAGCGCCAGGGTGCTTCATTCATTGGCATCCTGGACATTGCTGGTTTTGAGATTTTCCAGGTTTGGGTTGAAATGTTTTTTCAGGTTCCTTAAAGAGCACAGTTTGTCCAGTAGTGGCTAGAGGAAGTTGTTGTTACTGTTTCAGTGAAACTGTTGTCCTTTCTTGTATTTCTCCTCATTACAGTTGAACTCGTTTGAGCAGCTGTGTATCAACTACACCAATGAGAAGCTGCAGCAGCTCTTCAACCACACCATGTTCATCCTGGAGCAGGAGGAGTACCAGAGGGAGGGCATCGAGTGGAGCTTCATCGACTTTGGCCTCGACCTGCAGCCCTGCATCGACCTTATTGAGAGGCCGGTCAGTCTGAATGATTATCTTGTAACTGAATCAAAGAGATGAGAAACAATTTCAAAACACACTTCCCAAAACATTTTTTCTTTCTTTAACCTTTTCTACTGAAAATGTAAAACAGAAGTTCTGTTTGTGTCTAGGAAAAGGTATTGTTTGATTTAGTTGTGTCCTTTTAGGCGAACCCCCCAGGAGTGTTGGCTCTGCTGGATGAAGAGTGCTGGTTCCCCAAGGCCACAGACAAAACCTTTATAGAAAAGCTGATCCAGGAGCAGGGCACACACACAAAGTTTCAAAAGCCTCGTCAGCTCAAAGATAAGGCCGACTTCTGTATCATCCACTATGCCGGCAGGGTACGTGGGATTTCTCTTTTCTCTGAAAATAGACTGGTGTTTGTTTGATTCTTTTTAAACTGGAAGGCATCTTGAGGGCAGATTTTCAGAACAACAACTAAATTGAGGCTTTCTTTGGAAATTACAGTTTACTGAAGGATAAAACTTTGATTTTCGGCAGCCCTCTCCAAAAAACACTCACCAAAACAAGTTAATCTTCCTGTTGATAGTTGATACAGCTGATACATTGTGCTTATTTTGTTGTTACTGTAAGCACTTAGACTTTCAGTTGCTTTAGTTTAACATAAACTCAGACACATATGGCACATGCCGTATCATTAAGGCACTGATTCCATTTCTCGAAGAGTAGATACAGTATAACTGCTTTATTTCTTATTGTACTTGTACGTATAGTTCTATGTAGGACCACTTCTTTATTTGTGTCTACATATTTTCCTAAATGTCTCTTTTCCTTCCTGTTCATCTGTGAAAATCAGCCAGCCAGCAAAACCTTTCTGACGCTCAGAGCTCAGATAAATCACTGATGCATGGCTCGGCTGTGGTGGGATTTTGAGGGAATGCATCATTGACTCCTGGGTTGATTTGTATGATTTGGAATGGGAGTGGATTTTAATGTCAGTGGAGTTATGCATTTGAGAAACACAGCATTTCAATTGCATGCAGTTATTTAAGATGGCAAATATAAAGAATCTATATTTAAAATGTTTGTTCATATTATTTTTCAGTGTAAAAAATGAATATCGGCTGATGTATTGTTATTAAAATGTTTCAGAATCCCAGACATTTATATCATATTGGCCTAAAACATCTATTGTCAGGCAGACAATAACCGTGGTATTATTTTTGTTCGTATTGCTGATTTGCACCACTTCATTGTTACAGGTGGACTACAAGGCTGACGAGTGGCTAATGAAGAACATGGACCCTCTGAATGACAATGTGGCCACACTTCTGCATCAGTCAACTGACAAATTTGTGGCTGAACTTTGGAAAGACGGTGAGCTGCTACCTGCTTTACCTCTAAACACTTTAAACAGTACTGAATACCATGAGATACAAATTCTAGTAACAGATGGTGTTAGCATTATTATATGTGTACCTTTGCTTGTTCAGTTAACCAGCACATTGATAACACCTCTCACTCAACCCTACTAACATCAGGTATCTCCCTTGTTGACCCAGGACTATACACGTTTCCAAAAATTAATGCATCACCTTCCGCTCCTTGTCTCTTTCTCTGTGTTGTAGAGATTCAGACCATTCAAAGGGCTTCATTCTATGACAGTGCTACTAGTCTGGATGAGCCGGCAGGTGAATGACTGGGTCATGCCATAGCAGACCTGGGCCAAAATAATATTAGCTGAAAGTTAACCGCACTGGGTTGTGGAACTACACTGCTCAAAGGCTTGGGAGGCTAAATATAAGTGATCCCCAAGCAGGTTAACTTCTTCAAAGTGTACTGGTGTATTTTTGCCCAGATCTGGCTGTATGTTTCATGCTTCAGCCGGTGCTGTGTCTGTCATAGCTAAAATGGCTCCCATTTGCTTCCAGGCTGCATGGCTCCCTTGTCTCAGCCAAAAGCAGTAGTGCCCAATTCGTAATTAAGTTCAAGTAGAATCTCGAACATCTGCTCCCTTTAGTCAAAACAGTGTGTTTTATTTTGTCTCAGCGCTTTGTGTTTCTTTGTATGGTCAGCGGCTCTGAAACAGTCGACTCCTCGCAGCCCATTTCTCTGTTTGTCGCCCTCTCTGTGATGTAATACATCCAGGAGCAAATTAAGGCTTTGGAACATGACTGAAGAATATTTCATGACTTTAGTTTCTGGCCTTCCTCCCTCCTACTTAGGGTCACAGTAGCATGGAACTGAAACGAGGAGATGTTCTTGAGACAATCAGTGTAGAGGGTTCACACGGCAGCCATGCATCGCTTCACTTTAATTGTTGAAACTCCAGTTACTTGTAATTTTAATTAAGCTGCTGGGATATTATTATGTGACATAGTGTATATTTAATTAAGTGATAAGTCATAACTCGTGTACAGTGCCATTTAATTAAGCCGTTTTAGAAAAAGTATATATTTTCCTTTTTACTTTTATTTCACCAGGGAAATAAAGCCCATTGAGGTTTACAACCTCTGCAAGAAAAAGATTAAAAAAAGAATAATCAAAATTGATGCAGCAGGGGTTGAGATAACTTGATGTTTATTTCCAGGTTTCGTTTAAACTCCAGAATGTGCTGCATCCTACATTTCTCATAATACTGTTATGACCTCCACAGTTTGCAATGCAAGTTTTTTGTTTTAATCTTTGGCTTGTTTTCAAACCAAAGCCGAAATTATGCATGCGATGTCAGTAATGACAAAGCTGCCTCCTGAGCCACAGAAGACATTATTAGGGCTGTAACCGACAATTATTTTCATTCATTCATTTAAAAAGCAGTCGCAATTTCCTAAAATCCAGGGTGATGTCTTCAGACATCTTGTTTTGTCTGACAAGCAGTTTAAAACCTATTCAGCTCACTGTTAAGTAAGATAAAGAAAAGCAGCAATTTTGCAGATTTTAGATGCTGGAATGCCAAAGCTTTGGCATTTTGGACTGGAAAAAAGATTTACTTGACTATTCCATTATGAAAGTATTGTGTTATTGATTAACTTATCGGTAATTAATCTAATCATTGTAACTCTAGACATTATACACCTGTTTTCCTAGGCTGAGTAGTACTAACCATGATCCTCATTTTTAAAATTACTGGAGTGCCCCTTTTTAAAAATAAGTTATGAAAAGTATTGGAATATTTTGTGTCTGGTATTTGCATCTTCAAAATATTTTGAGAAGAGATTATTTTCACAGCAATATGTTGATGCATGTTTTGTGTCATAAACAGTAAATATGTTCAGAAGAGCAGTTCAGTTCTTGTTAGTATTTAGTACATGAGTCACATTATAAAAAGTGGTAGTTTCCTCCAGTGGAACAACATATAGAGCCCTGTATGTAGGCTGGCTTGGCCCTGCGCTCCATCTCCATCTGCAGAAGCTGGTGGTAACTCCAGACATTGAATGCCACTTTGTTAGGCTGCTGTTGTTTGACAGTAATGTGTAATGTCTCCTTCATCCATTTGCACTTGATCATTCGGCTATGTTTTTTCACAGTGTTTACTGCTGCTGTTTCTACAGCTACTTTTTGCTCCGAATGCAGGCTTCCCACCCTAACCAGTTTTCCCCATCTCCCCACCAGTCGACCGTATCGTGGGCCTGGACCAAGTGGCAGGAATGAACGAGACAGCTTTTGGTGCCACCTACAAAACGAAAAAGGGCATGTTCCGTACCGTGGGACAGCTCTACAAGGAGTCGCTCACCAAGCTGATGGCCACACTGAGGAACACGAACCCCAATTTTGTCCGTTGCATCATCCCTAACCATGAAAAAAGAGTAAAGACATATTTTTATCTTATTTTTAGAATGCTCTGGGTCAAACAAAGCAAAATAAGGGACCTGTAAGATTGTATTAGATACAGATGTGTTCTTGTTATATCTACAGTAGTAGAACAAAAATTTTGACAGTCTGAGAAGAGTCTGGTATTGGCTTTTTTATAGAGTAGAAATTGTGTGTAAAATATGCTGAAGTACACTCGTACTTATTTGTCATCTTGTTTTCTCCTTCAGGCTGGTAAACTAGAGCCTCACCTGGTTCTAGACCAGCTGAGGTGCAATGGAGTCTTGGAAGGGATCCGCATCTGTAGACAGGGCTTCCCCAACCGCATTGTCTTCCAGGAGTTCAGACAGAGGTGACAACCAATAAAGAAGCTTTTTGAACTCTGTAACTCCATTTTAGCCAGAGAGAGGAAAGGTTGGCTTAATTTTTAACTTACATTTATGTTCTGTTTTGTTCACAGATATGAAATTCTGACACCCAATGCAATCCCCAAGGGTTTCATGGATGGGAAGCAGGCCTGTGAGAGAATGGTAGTGCTTTTTAGCTGCATTTTATTTTTAAACTATTACAGTTGTTACTGCTATTGGATGAAACAGTCAGACTGTAAAGACGACTTCTTTATTCATGGTTTTAGTCTTACTTTAGCTGTCGCTCACTTCTCAGATTTGTTCAGCAATTCAAACAGGTCTGATGTTGTGCTTTGTTGATGTCTGTGTTCATAGGTCAGAGAAACATTTAAACAGTCCGAGCATAGTAGGCAGAATTAAGAATGGGACATCACTTTCTTTCTGAGCTAGCTTGCTGTTTTCCTGTTAACGTATTTCCTGGAGGTTTTTCACTAACCAAATCAAGGGTCTAAGAGTAGACAGTGTTGTATGCTGTACAGATTCTAAAGCACTTGGCTAGCTTCAAGGTGAGGCAACTTTATTTGTATGCCTCATTTTTATATACAAAGGCAATTCAAAGTGCTTTACATAATGCATAAAAATATTAAAACGATAAAACTCAGCAAATATATCCCTGATATACACTGTATTTTGGGCCCAGACCGTTGTGTAGACATTAAATAGGGCCTTAAATTTAATTCTGTATTTAACTGGGAGCCAGTGAAAGGATCCACAGATATCTTGCTCCATCCTCGGTTGACCCAGAATTCGTTCCGGTCGCCCGAGGACTGTGGGCATTCCAAATTTCTTTTATTGGCTCTGAGGAGTGAGGAGGCTGCTGGAGGAGTCATTAGAGGATAGCTGAGATGTTCCTTCATGGAAGTTTTTTATGAACTGACATGTCCCTTTATCAGAAATCAGTTGGTGAATTGGACACTTCAGATGAACGATGGTGGAAAGGATGTCTCATGTTAACTTATTTTCATGAGCCCTCTCGTCCACATTTTCCTTGCATTTTTTCCTCGCATCTTACATGACCGGGACTAAGACACAAGGAAAAGATGCAAGTAAGGAAAATGAAAAAAGGGAAAAATTTTGTCCTATTCAGTTGTTCACTTTCTCAAGAATAAGAGGGGCCCAAAAACTGATCCTGGTGGGACTCTGTACAGCATTTTGTTTTTCAACTTTTTAAATTAATTAAAATAAAATGTGAAGTTCCCCTGCTGTCAGGTTATTTTTCAACAACGCTCTGTGTTTCTTTTACAGATCCAAGCCCTGGAGCTGGACCCCAACTTGTTCCGTATTGGTCAGAGTAAGATCTTCTTTAGAACAGGTGTACTGGCTCACCTGGAGGAGGAGAGAGACCTGAAGATCACTGACATCATCATATACTTCCAGTCTGTGTGCCGTGGATATTTGGCACGCAAGTGAGTGTCATATCTATGTATGTGCTGTTACATAGGCTGATGAGCACGCAGCTAATAGAGACCTAAAACAGAGTGAATGTTGAGCTTACATTCGTCAGGTGTTTGCCATATCATCTTAAATAATATGTTGTGTTCACAACTTGTTTCTGCTACCATATGGACCAAAAAACCCACCACTGCACACTTTAAAAACACTGTTCTACTTAGACATTGATTTATTTTGCCATGTTTTTCTTTCCTTAGGGCCTTTGCCAAGAAGCAGCAGCAGCTGAGTGCCTTGAAGGTCCTCCAGAGGAACTGTGCTGCTTACTTGAAGCTGCGACACTGGCAGTGGTGGAGGCTCTTCACCAAGGTGAGATCTCTGACAGCAGTATTCATGTTGGCACCTAAATTTGATTTGGATTTTGATGAAAATGGATATTTTAAAAGTTTGTCAAAATTTTGTCTTGATCTCTGTTAGTTTTAGTCATTGAAAACAGATATTTTAGTGTAGTTTTCATAATATTGTCCCCATTTTTAATGTTTATACAGCTGTCACCATTTGCTGTGTACAGTTTCCATGATTGCTGGTGTTCTGGAGGTTTGTGGAAAAGGCTGTTAATTTGTTCACACACTGTCACAAACTGCTCATTTTTAACTAAAGTGCTAAATGCTAAACAGTTGGATAACATTAAAACTGGTATTTTTATAGCAAACATCTAGAGGAAGATTGTCTTCATTTGACTGTCAACATTAATCCTGGAACTTAACGTTGTTAATGTTTATATGTGCTACTCAGATGATACCCAGCTCTGCATCTCTGCTACATCCACTAGTATAATATAGTACGACACGGTCCTCAACATCAGGTGTAGTCTGCTCAGGTGCCTTGGAAATGTAGAACTTTTCATGTTGACTTAAAAAGAGTTTTAACATCTGAATTTCCATGACAACTGAGCAAACACCATGTGCTGATGATGAAAACTAAATAAAACATTATACATCTGTTAAGTACAAATGAGAATGGTGCAACAGTGGATCGTACATGCAGGAGCCTTGTGGAGTTTGAGTCATCACTGCTGGCTAATTTAGCTATGAGTCTCATTGAATCGTAATTGGGAAATGTCAAATTTAGCATAGACTTGTATTAATTTAAATTATTTATTAGTTTGTTAATCTATCCATCAATTCTGCATCTTCTTTGAGTCCATGTCACATTGATTAATTATATTACTAGGAGTTATTACACGGTGTTGACAAAAATGTGATGCCATTCAATAAATGTGTGTACTTGACACTCTGCTGCCTCTAGTTCTTCTGCTGTTACTCCAACAACATTAGCAACTTAACATGGGCCCGAGTTTACATTTGCATTGAATTAATATGATTTTAATTTCGGAGTAATTCATTCTTTGAGTCACATTAGATCTTTGAGTCACATTAGCAGTAAGCAGCGTTCTACTGGAGTGTCTTTTATTTTTTAGTCAGCTAACACTAGTTTCGGACTGGAGGCTGCATTTTGTACAGTTTGTCACAACTAATGGTTTACATTGTCACCAAGAAACAGGACATGATGGTGTCAGTTTTTCAAGTCTCGCTAGACCCGCTAGCTGCTGAAAGGACAGTTTCTCTCTTTTCCAGGTGAAGCCTCTGCTGCAGGTCACCAGACAGGAGGAGGAGTTACAAGCCAAAGATGAGGAGCTCATAAAGGTGAAGGAGAGACAGCTCAAGGTGGAGAATGAATTGGTGGAGATGGAGAGAAAACACCAACAGGTAAACACGTCTTCTGTTATGTAAAGTAAAATAGTTCCACAGTGATTGAGGAAAAAAAAAAAGATCTTTATTTTAATAATGGTGATATGTGAGGAAGCAGTTCATTTAGATTTCTCTCTCTCTATATATATATATATATATATCTATATCTATCTATCTATATATATATATATATATATATATTTACACCCACGTATGTATACTAAGAAGAATATTCTAGCAGAACAACTCCACGCGGAGACAGAGCTGTTTGCCGAGGCCGAAGAGATGCGAGTTCGACTGCTTTCTAGGAAGCAAGAGCTGGAGGAAATCCTTCATGACTTAGAGTCTAGGGTAGAGGAGGAGGAGGAGAGGAACCAGAGCCTGCAGAATGAGAAGAAGAAGATGCAGACACACATTCAGGTTGATAATTTTTATACCTTGCATCTTATACAAACCTCTGCTATTTTTGTTCTGACATCCATAAGTTCAAAGTGACTGGTAGATTTTAGGTCTGGAATTCAGTCACCTGGTTTTATTTGTTTTCACTGCACAAAATTCAGAATTTTGACTCAATGTGAATAAGAAATGACTTAATTCAATACTTACATTAGATAAAAACCAATGTTCTGTAAAGTGCTTTTAGAATTTCTCTTCCATTCAAGAAGTGAGGCACACTTTTGTTTCCTTGGATTGAAATTGTGTAAAATATTACAGACCACACTGTAAAAATGTTTAAACAGTTTTATTTTCTTTGAAAATTGCAGAGTGACTAAAACATGACACATAAATGTCATCATAATACAACAGACATACCTATGGTTTGAAGACAAGTAACCAGGGGCTGTAAAGATTTTTATTAATTCCATTAGTTTACAAACTCGCATTAGACTGGTTATAAATGTTTATACTGTATGTGCGTGTTTTCCTTTCTACAGGACCTGGAGGAGCAGCTTGATGAGGAGGAAGCTGCAAGACAGAAGCTGCAGCTGGATAAAGTGACAGCTGAAGCAAAGATCAAGAAGATGGAGGAGGACATCCTGCTGCTGGAAGACCAAAACTCCAAGCACCTCAAGGTGAGAAAAATATTTGGAAATCATGGGGTCGGACAAGAAGTAGAATACAGAGCTAGTCTTTTAAGTTGGGGATCATTAGAATCAAGGTGATGGATGAGGAATATGATGGGATAGATGTTGGAGCAATAAAGCAGAGAAATGGTGATCTGTGTGGGTAGACTACATGAGACCCTCAGAAAGAGGAAATATCATGAGGAGTAGTATCACTGGCTGGTTGAGGGGCTTCGCCTGGATGATGGCCGCTTCAAGGCTTATATTAGAATGAGCTGGGGACAGTTTGACAATCGTCAATCGTTGGGCCTCACATCACCAAAAATCTTAATCTTATAAACATTCCCTGTCTTAGGTCAGTTAGGATCACTACTTTATTTAAAGAATGTGAAATGTCAGAATAATAGTAGAGCAAACGATTTTAGCTTTTCTTTTATCACATTCCCAGTGGGTCTGAAATTTACATACACTCAGTTAGTATTTGGTAGCTTTGTCTTTAAATTGTTGAACTTGGGTCAAAGGTTTTGGGATGCCTTCCACAAACTTCTTACAATAAGTAGCTGGAGTTTTAGCCCACTCCTCCTGACAGAACTGGTTGAACTGAGTCAGGTCTGTAGGCCTTATTGCTCACACGCTTTTTGACTTCTGCTCAGAAATGTTCTATTGATTGAGGTCAGGGCTTTGTGATGGCCACTCCAACACCTTGACTTTGTTGTCCTTAAGCCATTTCGCCACAACTATGAAAGCCTGCTTGGTGTCATTGTCCTTTTGGACAAGAGCCATTTACAATCAAGCTTTCACTTCCTGGCTGATGTCTTGAGATGTTACTTCAACATATCCACATCATCTTCCTTCTTCATGGTGCCATCTATTTTGTGAAGTGCACCAGCCCCCCAGCAAAGCACCCCCACAACATGATGCTGCCAGCCCTGTGCTTCATGGTTGGGATGGTGATCTTTGCCTTGCAAGCCTCCCTCTTTGTCCTCCAGACATAATAATGATGGTCATTATGGTCCAACAGTTAAATTTTTGTTTCGTCAGACCCAGAAGACATTTTTCCAAAACGTCAGATCTTTGTCCCCGTGTGCAGCTGCAAACTGTAGTCGGCCTTTTTTATGGCGGTCTCAGAGCAGTACTGTGGACATGGCTGAGTAGCCTTCCAGGTTATGTTGATATAGGACTCGTTTTACTGTGGACATAGACACTTTGGTACCTGTTTCCTCCAGTGTCTTCACAAGGTCCTTTGCTATTGTTCTGGAACTAATTTGTACTTTATGGACCAAAGTACGTTCATCTCTAGGAGATAGAACGCATCTCCTTCCTGAGCGGTATGATGACTGTGTTGTCCCATGGTGTTTATACTTGTGTAGTATTGTTGTGTAAGACTTCATACTCTTACACCCCCCATGTAGTAACAGTGTTTCTCACGACCTCTGGTCCAACCCACACTTTGATTTTTCCCAACAGGAGAAGAAGATGTTGGAGGACAGGATTGGCGAGATGACCTCCCAGCTGGCAGAGGAAGAGGAAAAGGCGAAAAACCTCGGCAAAGTGAAGAACAAGCAGGAGATGATGATGGTTGACCTGGAAGGTAAAGCTGCTGTTATGGGCTCCATTCTGTGACCAGAAATAGGGAACATTGACAAGGACAGACACAAAGTGAACTGCAAAACAGATGGATAGGCAGTACCACATTAGCTGTAGTGTAGTCCAGGGTTCAGTAAAGTGTAGCTTAAATGAATTGTCCTCACACCAAGAGGAACAACACAAACTTTGGATATACTGTATGGCATTCAGTATAACTTCATGGGGTGAATTTAGAGTTTACAACAGTACAATGAGGTAATGAGCTACAAAGCTGCTAATTTAATTAGCATTTGTTGTGTCATGCTGTTAGGAATTAGGTGCGTCTGTTTTGGGTAGGGTAGGGTAGGGTAGAACTTTATTGATCCCACAGTTGGGAAAAACCAGTGTTTCAGCAGCAGTAAGGGACAAAAACAACAGAGAGCAAGCAACAAGACACCATAAGAACAGTTACAACACACCAATCTTGATAGACAAATTCAGAAAGCACGGAAAGAAAAAAAAAACACAAAAGAGGACAGAGCTACTGGAACTCGCTGCCACTCCAGGCATCTTAAAAAAACAAATCGAGAGTACCCAAAAAACTTTTGTCACTTTCTATGACCTTTTTGTTTCTTGAATGACCCCTCTCTGACTTGTGACTTTGCCCGTTTACCTCTCGAGATTATCCAAACTTCAAACCAAAAGTGTATTTTAATAATTATTAACCATGTTTGATTTGGCATTTTTTATCAGTCTTGTGTATGATTCTTTTGACTGATTTGTGCCTGTTTTCAGAGCGTTTAAAGAAGGAGGAGAAAACCCGCCAGGAGCTGGAAAAGGCGAAACGTAAACTGGATGCTGAGACTACTGACCTACAGGACCAGATAGCTGAGCTTCAGGCCCAGATAGAGGAGCTGAAGGTCCAACTGACCAAGAAGGAGGAGGAGCTGCAAGCTACTCTGGCCAGGTCAGTCATAAACATTTATGAAAGTCAATACTGAAAGAACTAAATCAGACCAAAAAGCAACTAAAATAGAAAGAGTAACTCTAGGGTTTTTTAATTTCTTAATTGTTGTAGAAAAAAAAAATCTGAAATCAGAAAAACTGACCTTTGTTCTGTTTTTTCTCCACCCAGGAGTGATGAGGAGGCAATCCAGAAGAACAACGCCTTGAAGCAGATTCGGGAGCTGCAGGCCCAGATAGCGGAGCTTCAGGAGGATCTGGAGTCAGAGAAGCTGTGTCGCAGTAAAGCCGAAAAAATCAAGAGGGATCTGAGTGAAGAGCTCGAGGCTCTGAAGACGGAGCTGGAGGACACGCTGGATACCACTGCCGCCCAACAGGAACTCAGGTGCTTGTTTAAAGCCGCTGGTTTAACTTTTCTATGTCATGTTTCTGATGGTTGTCCTACTGGTGTTTGAGAAAAGACTAACTTATTTGTGAAATTATCATTAATTTACACATAAGCTCTTCTCAATTCTAGGCACTGAGTCATGTTTGATATTGACCATTTATGTGCTATAAACATGCATTGAATTTATACCAACCTCTGAACATTTTTGCATTGTTTTTTCCCTTTCACAAGTTACCATTTAATCTAATAGTAGCATTACACTCTGCATTTTAAGACAATTTTGTTTTGTCCCCTCTCCTCTTAACCCACTCCACTGTGTCTGAACTCTAGGACCAAGCGAGAGCAAGAGGTGGCTGAGCTGAAGAAGGCCATAGATGAGGAGACCAAAAACCACGAAGCTCAGATCCAGGAAATGAGACAGAGGCATGCCACTGCACTGGAAGAGCTGTGTGAGCAGCTGGAACAGGCTAAAAGAGTGAGTGGACTGTACCTGGTTACAGCTGGAAGGGCTTGTATTTGCCTACATACAACTGTCTATGTCAACTGAGCAACATGTAAACACAAAGTTGAACAGGGAATTAATAAACAGGATCCCAGCAACTGCTGGGATTGATTGCACTATCACTTTCTGTTTTATCCCAGTCTATAATTACAAATATTAAACCATCAAAGTGTTATCTTTTTGTTCTCTGCAGTTCAAGGCCAACCTGGAGAAGAACAAGCAGTGTCTGGAGAGTGAAAACAAAGAGCTGGCCTGCGAGGTGAACAGTCTTCAGCAAACAAAGACAGAGTCTGAACACAAGAGAAAGAAACTGGAGGCCCAGCTGCAGGAGTTTATGGCTAGGGCTACCGAGGTAGAGAGGGCCAAGGGAGAGCTGGGCGAACGCTCACTCAAACTCCAGGTAAACATCTCCGCAGAGAGTCACATGTTTGGTGCAGTTTTCCTACGAAATGAAGGCCCCATGTATTTTATCTGAGCACAAACAAGACTTTACATTTACCCAGTTTAATGTAAAGAGACTAGTCATACTTTGGGTTAGTGCATTGTGCTTTTGTAATAATCGCATTTATATTTTGTTAGACGGAGTTGGACACTGTGTCTGCTTTGCTGGAGGAGGCAGAGAAGAAGGGCGTCAAACTAGCCAAAGAAGTTGACAACCTGAACA